TGTCGCTTCCTGTGTGTAGGTGCGTTTGAGTCCTTATCATTCCAATGTGGGGGCTCGGCCTGTTCTTAACCATCCAAGCTGTGCCCGTAGTTTGAGGCAGCTGTGCACTTCTACAGTAACTGCTTACACGTACACACATATAACCACACCTGTTTCATACTCTGTAAACACAGGCCCGGTGTGATCTGATCACAAGTGGACAGCTCTGAGTACGTCAGTTCACACCCGGGATAACAATACTGTGTCTCCAGTGACCACTTGTGCTCACATCTCACGTCCTTGTTATGTGCAAATAAACACATACATCATTTCTGTTCACCAAGAAAAAATTTGGCAAGCTTTTAGCCAGTGAGATGATATTTTTTCCAAGGCAATACCTGATAAAATCATGTGTATACATTATATATCGTAAAAAGTATGAAATTATCCACTGCACACTTCACTAATCTCAAATGCCAAGTATATTTCAGATTGAATGTCTCGGCTGAGTGACCCTGCAGTGGGGTAGGATCCTGAACTTGTCTGTCCATCTGTCTGTCAGTCTGTCTTCTCATCTCCTGTGTCTCCTGCTTCTTTACACACATACACACACACACACAATGTACCATCTATATGTGTGTGTGTGCACGTCTCTCTTGCACACACAAAGACACACATCTCAAGCATGCTCTGGTGTGCGTCACCAGGGCCATCTGCTTGCTAACCAGAACAGTTTTCTACACACTAACATTTGTATTTCCCCTCGTGCCGGCCGCTGACTCAAATCTGTGATACAACTGCAGAAGTTTATTTCATGTATGATGAATTTTAGGGATACTTCATGTTTTTTAATAGCAGAGTGACAAGTTGCACTGGAAGTAGCTTCAGCATGACCAAATAGGGAAGCTCCAATGACACCATGTCATTTAGTAACTATCTGTCACCTGCCCCAAATTGTCACAGTTGACCAGCCCCTCTCAAATAATTTAACGCCAGTTCCTTTCTCTGACTATGAAAGGAGGAAAGTGATGGTGAAACACCTCACTATATCCGTTTTCAGACATGATCTCCTGGTAAAATCCGGAGAACTGGCTATGGAGTAGCAGAAGGAGACAGGAAGTGACGTATTCATTCTGCTGTGTAGATCACGTGATTTTGTTGACAGCACCCCAACAAGTCTCTTGACATCTTCATCTGCGTCTTCTAAGTGTGTGACACCACGTTTTCACCGTGAGATTTTTTTTCAGTTTTGCGTCTGTCACTTGCTCACAGTAAATCCAGTAGGGGATCTCCTCCGTTTTTCATCGACTTTTTAGAGACTTTATACTAGGAGGTCAGGCTGGATGAAGTCCGTAGAAACTACAGAGCATCTCTCTCTGAGATTTGCATTCACACATGCACCACCTCCAAAGAAAATACGGAGGAACTGCAGAGTTCAGTGCATGTCTGAAACCAGCTTTAGCTATCAAGAACCAGGGAATACATTCAAACACTTACATCTAAAGGCCAAAGAACAGGCTGTCGCGATCAAATGGGACAGTCTCTGGCAGGTCAAAGGTTTGCCTTTATTGGGAGAAGCCCAGGACACAAACACCAGGAACACGTTGAGCACTTGCTCCTATCCCAAAGAGAATGGAGGTGGGTGAAATGCCAAATATCCCACATTGGGAAATGTGTAGGTTGACTCCACCACCTGAGGCTGGGCTGGGTCACGGGCTGACCTTGGCGAGCCCTGGAGAAAACTGCAAGCAGGAAATGTGTATGGAAAAACCCTGGAGACACTTACATACTTTGCTATGATTAAAGTCACAAAAATACTTATTTCCAGTGAAATAAACATCATTCCCTACCTTAAGTAGTGATGAGAGAGACCATCCAACACCATCAGAGAAACCAGTGGCATGGAAACCAGGAACTTGTAGCATGTACCCTTCATGAATTGACAAACTAATGAATACTGGCCTAAAGGCTTATCCCTACTGCGCACATGACATGCTGAGATGGCTGCTAAGTACACTTTAATTGTAGAAAAGGCCTTTCCCCATCAAGCAATTCCTGCAGAAGGCACAGCAGCTTAACCACTGAGCACTGACAAGAAATGGTGTGCCTTGAGTAACACCACTGCCATTTAGCATTGTAAAAGGAGCGAGTAATAGCCAATTCATGCTTCTGTGTCGAAGCTATGTCGTAGCCCTATGCCGTACCCTGACGTGCACCTCCCCAAAAATCAGACTACATGTAAAGGCATCGCAGACAGCAAGAGCTGTGAGTGGTCCACCTGGTAGCATCGCATTTCCGGCAGACTCTGCGCCATTTTTGAATGAAGTTAAAGGAACAAACACAGATCACATCTTTCTTTTCTATTTTTGCAGGTCTTAAATATAAAGTAATTGCTCTTCAACATCTATTAGGTTCAACTCCAACACAATCCATGCAGTAACACTCACCATTGTTCTGAGGTAAGCAGAGATGCCAGAGAATTTGTAAATAAGGGGAACATAAACCGGAAGATGCTCAACACCAGAATAAAAACTTTACCGCCACTAGCTTTTTGGTTTTGTAATTGCAGCGCGACTCACATTCACTTACGCAAAACTATGAATTCTCTGCCCTGTGCGCAGGCTACGTGCGTACCTACGGCGTTGCTTTGACGCAGAAGCATGGATTGGGCTTAAGGGATGTCCTGACTGATGTCAATGATCTGCCCTGGCAAGCATGCAGCGTTCAAATTGCAGTCAGGCTTAGAGCGCTGTCTGGTCTTGGTGCAGCTGGTAGATCTCTCCATGCACCGGGGAAAGAAGATCCCTGTGCACGGGAAGAGAGGCTGTATTATTTCTGCAACCTCATTCCTGGATGACCACTGTTGCGCTATCAGGATTGGTGGAGATCAGAGTTTGGCCATAGGTGAACTAGCCTGAGCTAACTGTGTACTGAGTTTGCTTGCTGTGACACGTAAACAGAACTCCAGGCACTTGGCTCAGCTAACAAACTGATGCTAACTGAGACTTTTTAAGCTTACAATTAGTTATTATAGTCAGAGGATATAATACTACAAAGTCAACAGCAAACTGGGAACCAAATATTCATTGACCTGAACATGGATGTGGATTATCACGTGTAACAGTACATCTTGTAAAAGATTTACTCTGCAAATCCAAACAAGCCATGAGTTGCGTTTTGGGACATAATCCCCAGTGGGTTGTCTGTGTACTGTTGAGCAGCTAACCAAGTTAGCCTTGATTAGCTGAGGGAGCTTACATTGTTTGTTCACTGGAAGAAATGACCGTCAGTCCGAGTGGTATCAGTCTAGAATATTGTGTATAACAACTTTCAACAGCCAGCATATATGTGCATCTTTAATGCTTTATGAATCTATCTCTCTATTTTGGTACGCTTGTCCATCCTGATCTGTCTGTCTGTCAAACTTGGGTAAATGTGCTGCGACCTCCTAAAACTCAGAGCTAAGCTCTGCTTCGCGACTTCAAAATATGGCCTACAGAGCTGGGCTGGCACAGAAAGCTATTTTTAACCACAGGCTCAAAGGGAGAGCTTACATTCCCGGCTGAACCGTGTCACTCACAAACTTTTCTCACACTTCTTGAGTGTGAGTGCAGGCAGCTACTTTCACAGTGTCTGTGCCTGCATGACAGCCGAAGAGACTGACTCAAACCGAGCTACTGCATAATGTGTTAAACATATTTATAGTGTTCCGTGGTTATACATGTAATGCTGTGAACAATGAGGCTGAGAAGGGCTTTGTCATCAGGCTTTTTAACACAGACTACATGTTTAAAGTGTGTGTACGCATAAGTATTACACACTGATGAATGGTCATGGTCTTTCACACATGACTTATTGACAATGGCCATGTGTTAATTAGGCTGACCCTTGCTAACACCCAATATCACACCTACCTGACACAGCGTCAGCGGGCTGTTTATTAACCCTAAACCTTTAGAACCTTCATTTGAATATGGCACAGGGGTTAACAAAACCAGACAAGGCTCCGAATGGTAGATAAGGAGGTAGACGATTTAGAAGAGCTTAAAGGAACATATCTTCAGTGAAAAAGTAGAGTTCATGGTTGAGAAAAAAAAAGCTGCTAAATGCATGTGCTTATTACTTCATGGTTAATTTTGAAGTCAACAAGTTCTTCTGAGCATCCTAATTTGAGCTGTTAACACATGTACACACACACACTCGCATACGTACAGCTACACATAGGTTGTAATTACTGCAGCAGAACACAACTGTAGCATTTGTGCTCTATCATAAGAGGCACAAAAGGATGCAATCCTCTCCCTCTCTCAAAAAACACAAAGCTGTGTTTCCAAGCTGCAGATACAGAAGCTTAGCTTTAAAATGATACCCCTTTGATGCGACAGTAGAGTTATCAGTCCTATTCTGTCTATGATACCCAATACTAAGTCACAGGACCCCCTCCCCCAGTAATGAACCTGTGTGCACAATACTGCGCTGCAATGACAGATGACACGCTATCGCCGTTATCGGACATCAAGGTTTCAGCCACTTGAAAATACAACAACTGGCGCACTGTATTGTTTTACATCATCAGATACAAATTTATCTTGAGAGCCACATATCGTAGGGTAAATTTAATCCCTCAGCGGCCGCTTGTTTTAGACTGAAAATGAGATTGATCGCAGATGGGTGTGCTCTAAATATCTCTAAAAAAAAGGTGAAGAAAGAAAATGTGATAATGAGAGCAGGAACACTGGGCTGACAGAAAACTGTGGAATGACAGTAACACAGTAAGAAAAATACAGTGTACAGAGCTAAAGTGGTTGTAAACAGGGCTTCTTTGTCTAAGGTTCACCTTTTCTTTATTAATTGTTTTAAATTGTCTGTTTCTAATGACCTTGTATCTGTCTCTGTGTGTGAAAGCCCCCATGAAATTCAAATTGGAAACAGTTTAAATATTCATCAGCAACCTGCTTTTTCTTTTTCGCATTTTTAGAAGAAGGGAGGTAGTTCGAAAAACTTTTTTGAAGCAGGCTTACCATCATCCAGTGTGATGTCCTGCAGGCCGATAGAGCGGAAGGTGGGCTCCCTGTCCTCTGGCTCCTGCTTGATGTTCATCCTCTCGCCGTCCGATGGGAAGGGCCCCTGAGGGCTCAGAGGGTGAACCAGAGGGCCCACTGATGCAGGGGATAGGCTGGCCATGACTGGACTTGTAGCCTGCGGAGAAGGCTGCTGTTGAAGAGGCCCCAAAGGACTGCTGCCTGAAGTAGGGGAGGAGGAGGTGGGAGACTGGTAGGGCAGCGAGTGGAGCTGAGGGGAGGAAGGCCCGGAGTGCGGAGAGGGGATCATCCTTGGTGGAGGTGCGCTGGAGGGTGTGGGGCAGGAGGCTGACCTTTGACTTACCGGGTGGTAGCCCAGAGCCCTCTGCAGCTGGGAGGAGTGCTGCCCCACAAGGGGGTGACAATTGGGAGAAGAGACCTGGGTTGGATTTGGAGAGCAGTGATAGCCTGCAAGTGTGTGGAGATGTGGAGATGAGGGCGTAAGCAGGGATTGCTGACTCTGCGGAGACCCAGCAATGGGGTTAGTGCTTGAAGAGGAGGGAGCTGATGGCGAGGAGCAAGGGGAAGAGGGGTACACCATCCCCAAACCCATTGGGTGTGATGCTGCAGTGGGGCTCTGCTGAAAGGGCATCCTCTCATAGCCCTGAGGAGGAAGGCTGGACTGGCCATTGAAAGGCAGGCTATGACCATGACCGTGGCTGTGCTGCATAGGCTGGTAGGAGGGGCAGGGAGGAGAAGGAAGAGGAGTAGGAGCAGAGCTCGGGTGGAACGTCATGTGGCAATCCGCAGGGGGGTGGTGCAAACTGCGACTCTGGAGGTGAGACAGGTGCTGGAAAGATGGGGAGCCCAGGGAGGGGCAAGGGGCCTGCAGGGGCAGAAGGCCCGTTCCAGAGCCTGCAGCCAGGCCATGAGGGGAGCTGGACAGAAGGTTATCTGTTGGGTGGCCCTGCTCAGGAGAAGGCAGCTGGGTGCGCACCAGACTGGCAGCATGTGCCAGGGGCATGGACATAGGGGGTATTGCAGGATGGTCCAGCTCTTCCCTGTGCTCCTGTTTCACCATGACTATAGGAAACAAAGAGAGGAACAGAGAGGTGAGGAAAGAAAAAACAGACTGTCAGTTATGTCTATCAATCAAACACGACAAGACGAGACAGAAAAGATAATATATAGATTTTTTGACTGCCTTTTAACATAGTCAGGGTCACTGCTACAGTATTTTTTCTCCAGGTGAAGTGGACTTAAACAAAAAAAGACACAACCCCACCACCATTTATTCTCTCAATCTGTTGCTTCAATGGTGAAATAGTGTGTCCAGTATTTTGAAGTGGGTCTCCTTCCAGATTAAAAAAAAAAACTGAGTGACATTCTGATAATAAATGGGGCCATTCCCTTTTACTGCAACAGCTCTGTAACCTATTTCCCAATCTGGTGCCTTGTGACAGTGATTTTATTTTTATCTATCTCTGAATCAGAGGGAGAGCATATGTTGTCAGTCTGGGTGCCATCAAGGGAAATGTCGTAGGGGAAGAGGATCTGAATACCCTCCAGCCCAGATCAGACCAACAGAACAAACAAGTTCACTGATCGTGCCCTCTACTCACCCTGTCATGCCTCTGGGATCCAGAGGGAAGAGGCACGAAAAGGTCAAACAGGGTGATAATCGAGCCAGAGGGATATTGAGATCAAGAAAGGGGTAATAGGGTGGATATTTAAACATGGTTGTATGTAACTGAGGTCAGCTTGTTAAGAAGTCTCAAAATTGCACATCAAAATATTGATGCTTGCATGACAATTCACCAATTTCCAAACACAAACAGGAACAAAGGGTATTTTGTTCCTCAATTTTCAGAATAAACATGTAACATTTTTCCAGACAATCTTCTCAGAATTCATCCTAAAATTGGCCCAGAGCATCAGCTCAGCTCAGCTCAGCCCACAACGAAACATTAAACCTGACAGATTAGGAGATTTCTTGCCATAATAAAGTGTGGTGTTCAGGATATTGACACATGTGCTGTCAGCAATGCAGCCTGTCTGACAGAGCAGGGTTATTCTACTCTGCTTTGATTGGCTGCAACAATCTGTAAACGGGGAAAACAGGAACTGCCTGTGTGAGTAGGCGTGCTTGCAAACAGAAAGGCTGGGTGGGTGGAGGGGCAAGGCCGCTTATACACATATACACACACACATACACTGTTGCGGTAAAGCTCAGGCTTTGGATATGTTGCAGAAAATGGTCACATGCTATTATATTCTGCCAACTGTGTTTTCAGTTTGACTGGCTTCAAGAAGAAGAAAAAAACAACAGCAACAATATCAAATAGCAAAGACAGCAATTTGATTTTTAACGAAAAACATTGAGGAAACTTGAATATCAAAATATCATTGAGTTTCCTTTAAATAATTAAAAGAAACCACAACTCAGAGGACACGTGCAGTAAAGTTTCCTGGATAGCAAAAGATTTGCATCATAAAACCTCATGCAAATACAGTACATACGAGGGGGGGGGAGCGCATGAAATTAAGGTTTTAAAAAATAAACAGTTGACAGGTGTTATTGTTATGCTCAGTGGAAGAGCCCCTTTTACACCACAGCAATGCTTTGTTTGGCAAGAGAAAGAGAGAAATTGGGTTAGCAAAGCCACTGTAGAGAAGTTTGCAACACGACATGCATGTTACAGCTGTCAGTCATACTTCTTGTAACTGGGTATGGAGACTCACTACAGCAGGAAGTAATAAACCCAGAGGAATGCAAAGTAACAACTTACAGAATATTTGTGTGTGTAAGTATCTGTGTGTAAGTATCCATCTCTAAAATGAGTTGCAGGGAAATACTGTAGCTAAACAACTAAAAAGAGCATATGTTTGGAAACTTGTCACTTGTTTTGTTTCCATAGGATTTAGTTTTTTTAATTTAGTTTTGCAGATATACAAACTGAACAAATCCAAACATATCTCTATGGCCTTCTTTCTAAAAAATCATTAGAATAAATTGTCTCACCTGAAAGGTAAGTGAAGCGTTGTGATTGGCTCCTTTTCCGCTTGCCATTGCAGACATAAAACTGCACCTGCACAGCTGAGCCCACAGTCTTACTGTGGTAGGGGGGAACCTCCACCACGATGCACGACTACAAAAACAATTTGATATAATTTGTATATGCAAAAAATATTTACATACATTAAATGCAAATAAGTTTACAAATAATAAAAATATATTTATTTAAAGTAATTTTTAACTAAGTATTACATATAAAAATGTGTGGAATTACGGTAGGGAATAATAAATAATGTAAATACGTACTCCTTGAGTTTTCTCACGTTTTATTTTTGCCTCAACCTCCCATTGCGGTCGTCCATCTAGTAAAAGGGTTAAAAAGAAAATACACAAGGATAAATGCAAAAGATAGTAATATTCCTAGTTCCATAATTAAGCAACATTTTTCCATAATCTCAACTGTCACGCTCATCACTATTTTATTAGATCAGAGTACATATTCTCATGAGAGATACTGTCACATTCGACAGATAGCATATCACATGTCATATTTTAAAAGACTCTAGCAACTTTCTAGTGCAAACAAGAGTCATTCCTGGCTAATGGCAAAAGGGATAAACTTGTGATGCAGAATACAACATTTAATCATATCCCTTCTAATTTTGGACATACATGGCCACCTAAATCATTCAGACATGCAACTGAAAACGAATACAATTAAAAACTGATAGCTGACACAAGTACTTAAATACTCAGGCCACACACAATCAGCTATAACTGCAGATTTTTAAAACCCTCTTGAATCACTGTGATATTGTTCTAAGTAGCTGTCCCTGTGGTGTAGCTCTTGTTTAACTATTTTAGCTTTTAGTTTAGTTTTATTTAGTCAGGGTACAGTGCTTTCTTAAACAGACAGGGCTTAAGAACCACATGATGCTTGCGCACACAATTTCAATTTGTTCTGGGGGAACCGAGAGACTTCGACATGATGTAATTTTTAAAGGCCCAGAAGCCCCATGGAGAAAATCTTAACAGCTATTAAATAGTAATCAAATTTCCAAATATCCTGCTGTTTGTCTTACCTAGTTAAAATTACAGAGGGAGCACTGGAATACTTATTTATTTAAAAATGCCTTTACACACTGCCAGGTTTTCTGGCGAGAAAACATCCTTTCCAGTTTTCCTATGAAGGAGCTAATTATTTGGCCAGACATCTTTGGGGCAGCTGCTCGAAGGGAAGCAGTTGGGGCGAAAAACACTAGCAGGCTTGCCGTGTGGTTGAGGGAAATCACAGCTATCGCAGCATTGTGAAGAATAAAAACATTGACAGTGAAGTAAGTACAGAAGAGACTCTCTGTGGAGGCAAATTAAATTGCAGTTTCACGGTGCTCAAATGGTGCAAGTATACTCTGCACCTGCATGGCCTCTTCCTCAAAACCCAAAGGATTCCCCCAAAGACCACTGTCAGGCATCTGCAACATGTCTGCACAGACAGCTGGCTTAAGTGTAGTTTCTAACAAAGTAAGTGCTCAGTTGTGAGCCCTGTCTCTTTTCAGCTTTCTACTCCAGACTCTAGTTTTAGGTTTAACCTAACTTAGTTAATTTTCCTGTCCTGCCCTCACCCTAACATTAGCCTTAGTTGTAGTAATCCACTGCCACATTAAGCAGTCAAAACCCTGAAGAGATTGTCTCTATTGTAAAGGTAGAGCTTAACTTGTGGATGACAGAGTAGTTTTTTCCAATGAGCAAATGACCTTGAATGCCTTTGCAGCTGACATCAGTGCATTATTGCAGTGTGGATTGTTGACATTCAACAGGCAGGAGCAAGGGCCCCACATGCTCTGTCAGACAACAAGCACTGACAGGAACCTCATACCACACTGAGACAATGACTTGGATAATCCAGACAACACGAGTACTCGCCCCAGTCAGAGGGCCGACAAGAGCGTGGACTCACTGCGCCGCATGATCGAACACAAATAAAGACGGTAATTGCTGTTTATGTTATGGCGGTAGACTAACATCTTTCTAAGATCTCGCTGTTGTTAAGCTGTTACGACAGAAACAACAAGGTGACCACTGAGTACACATGCTGTGTTATTCACTACTCAGGGCAGTCAGTGTTAGAGCCTTTGAAGTCCAGTCTACTATATATTCATTCATACTTAAGTAGATATACTCTATCTATATATCTTACTGTATTTAGAATTTTTTTCTACAATGCCACTTACTATAAAAGCTTCTCAGCCCCTATACCCTTCTCCCTTTTATTTATCTTTCTTTTTTATAGACTTTCCCATCCTCTAAATAAATAAATAAAATAATAACTCAAGAGATTTGTTTTCTCTTCCCACACTTTCCTTGAAGATGAATATCTGGCCACTGGTAAAAGTAAAGGCCTTTCACGTCCACCTGTCAAATCAATCTGAATAAGTAAACTGAACAGTGTAGTATCCAAAAAACTTTGGAAGACATGTCAACTAAACTCTGAGGAACCAAGTGAAGGAAAGGGCAGCACCTGCACTAAAGCACTATATTACATCTGACTGTTTATCTACTTAAAATTAGGATCCCACATGAACAACAACTACCTTGACCTGTGCCAAGTCATTTCTGGAACCATAATCTCTGTGTACTAGCAACAACAGGCCTGTCTCTCCAGCTCCTCATAAATCTACTGTTGTCTTTCAGTTATGAGCGATGGTGGAAAAATATCTGCCATTACCTCTTTCTTTCTTTCTTTCTTTTCTTCCATTCCTGCACTTACTCCAATCAGTGCCTTTCTGCACTAAAGCTGGCGGATTAGTCATGATGAGGGGGATAATTTACACAAACCTAATCAACATCATCTTCCCCCTTCCCTTTCATATTCTCTCTGTCTCCTTCCACAGTCCACTGCCCTCGTGCACCATGGGGCCCAGCTGTCCTCCCTACCCAAGATGCACCTCCCTAAGGTTTCCACTTACTGCTGTGCTGCTATAAAGACTTGACCATCAGCAAGTTGTTTCAACCATATTACTTCTCCATGCCATGCTTCACCTGGTACACCTAAAAGAGCGAAAGACATTCCTACAGGCGGTTTTTTTTTTCTAGAAAACTTGAAGAGAATGACTCTCACATCACTGCTCAACGTTCTGCCATGTGTGAACTTGATTTTGTTGCTCTACATCGCAATGGTACCTCGGGCAGGCAGAGACTGGCTTCATGAATGTTGTTCATTTAAAACTTCCAGCTATTACATGTGTTTTGATTGTGGACTGGTGTACAGACAAGAAAAAAGATAGGCAGAGAAAGAAGGTTTAAGAAGGTGCTTTTCATCCTGTTTAAAAGAAACAGGATGACAAGCACAGGGAGTTGAACTAAGCAATATACTAAGACATTTGTAAAAGCAGATATTCAAACAATTTAAGACAAAGACAAAAAACAACGACCCAACAATCTCCACACTGGAGGTGAAAAAAAGCAGTAGATTTTGGTTGTGCAGTGTTTTCCTAAAAGTCAACAGTGAAGTGTGAGACAAAATGTGGGTTCATTGAAAATCATTAAAAAACATAATGGAAAGACTAATAATGAATCTATCTAGTTTACATACTGGATTATTATTAAATTACCATATTAAATGACTATATTTGCCTGTTTTATCATGTTTATGTTGGTTTGTTAAGTGTGGTTTTGGTTAGCCATGACAAGAAGTAATTTAGTAAGTACAATTTACAGTATGTATAACATCTTTCAAGAGCAGTGATGTCACAAAGTACTTCATAGAGGAAATATTTTAATATGTATATGTCCTAAAGACTAATTTAAACAATCCAGTCAATACTTTTTTTTTATTTTTGGGAAATATATTGAAAGTGGACAGTGACAGTGGATGGTTCTTTATTAAAGAAATAAAATAAATACATGTTGATAATGTAGTTTTGTGATAATTTTATAAATATTAAAGTTTTTTATAATATAATATATTATATATAGTATTATATGTTATGTATAAGAAATTACAATGTAAAGTTTGTATCAAGACCATATTCTTCCCCATGAGTCTTTGTCTCACGCTGACTTGACAGACATATATTACTTACAGACATACGGTAAATCTGTTTGACATTTATTAAAATGCCCTGAGAGAATAGAGGACTTGTTGAGGCTAAGATAATGATAGATGTGATCTGAGAACTGAGAACTGACAAACACACAAACACACACACACACACACACACACACACACACACACACGCAGGGCTGGTTTTAACAGGTAGTTTGGATAGTTGTTTTTTAATTACAAGATTTTTAGATATTTTTATTCTCTTGTGACAATTTTGAGGAAGAGAGAAAAAAAGACAAGTGAACTGAAGCATAGACACGTATCAACCATGACTCATTAAATCATAACCTTCTGCTGACTTCTGCTGCATATGCAAAATCTACAAAACTCTTCCAACATAGCACATAATTGACACATGAAATGTTTTAGCAGCCCCTCTGATATAGTCTGTCAGACAGAATTTAGTATGATTTTTTTACACATGTACTTGGCAAACACTGTTTCTGCTGCAGTGCTGGTTCAAGAAGAGTCTGCTGTGCTGACAACACTTACCAGGGCCTTTCTCCAGGAAGATGACTTTGGACTCTGGGAAGAAGTTGGAGCCTGTGATGACCAGCTCTTCTCCACCGCTCACCACACAACTGGTCAGGCTGGATTTCTCAACCTGCGGCAGCTCCTGAGCTGAACGCTGGGCTGGGAGAGAAACAGCAGGGGTTGGGGAGAAAAGAAGATGATCATTTGCTGAGCTGTTTCACTCACACTGAAGTTTGTTAAATAAATTAAATTAACTTCTGAGAATGTCATGTAGTTGAAAAAAAAACTCAAATCAAATCTTGCTTTAAGAATTAACAACTCTCTGTCAGCCAGAGGGAAAAAGTAGGATTTATTGCAGCGCTGTGGTGATGGAATATAGGTATATTATGTAACTGCTCGGCTAGAAGGGTACAGCATTTACGTTCTTATCTAAAGTGACTTTAAGTGAGAGGACACACGAAATTAAATCAACATCCTATCCCTTTAAGTTTTCTAACAATGAGGAAATGTTTGAATACTTATCTGTGAGTGATTTCATATCACACATAGATTTCTGAATGAACATGTTTGTGTGTGTGTGTGTAGGATGTCAACACTCACAGCACTCCACAGGAATGGAGGAAGCCTGCAGCGACAGCACCTTCCCATTAGGTTGAGGGATGTGCACTCTGAAAACCACACGAACCCGTGTGTTCTTTCTTCCTATATCTGTCTCTCCCTTCCGCAGCTCGATGTCAGAGTTCCGCAGCTTCAGGATACCGGCACAGTCAATGCTGCAAGATAGAGGGGAAATAGTTGGCCCCATACAGCCCCATACAGCACCACAGGGATGGCAATAATCGAAGATATATTTAAGAAGGGAGGGCGTGGGAGAGAATAAAACCAACCACAGGCCCAGCAGGGGATTGGCACTGAGAGGAAAATTAAGTTGAATCCCAAATTAAAAATGCCTGTAAATAGGATTTATTACAACTCTAAATGAGAAAGTCTTGCTCTGCTTCATGGGAAACCCTCGTTTTTTTCCTGTACCCATTTCTCCTGTTGGTTTCAATTTCAAAAATCTATAAAATCCCCTTTGCAAGATGTTGTGATGTATAAAATGCATATTTTTCATAGGACAGGGCTTTCTTCATGGTGGTAAGCTCATAACTGAGTAATGTAACCCTGAAGTGCTTCTGACACCTACCTGGCTGACATGTTGTTCTCGGGCAGCAGAGGAATTTCGAGAACCTTGGTGCTGGAGACTATGATTTCTTGGCTGGCTGTGGCTACAGTTTTCCCGGTGATCCGGTGCACCTGGTAGAAGGCGTGCGGCCTTAAGTATCGGTCATCCGCCGTTCCAATGAACATCTGCAGGTTGATGGGCTTCTCGCTATAGCCAATGAGCTGAGACATGACAGATAAAGACAGAAAAACTGAGTAAAAACAGATGTGAGTTCTCAGGGTGCAGATGAGAGAGGTGTGAACAAAGGAATACTCTTTTCATTTCCATTGCCTTCAGAGGGCCACCTTTTTTTAGAGGGAATCTAAATGTCAGGTCGGGGGTGTTGCGATATTTCTGGCAGGGCAACTGGAGATTCATCTGGCGCTTTGGCCTCCAACCAGTTTGACACTGGCGTTTTCTACTAATAGTCTTAAAACTTTTTCCCCTTGCAAGCCTGCCTCTGAAGTGGATTCTGTGCAGGACAGTGTTGCCTCCAACATCTAAAAGAAAACCTTGAAACCAGCTCTAGTCAGTTGCTCCAAGAAAATAAAAGCTGTACTGCAGGTGCACTAGCTCTCACAAAATAAAATGACAGAATACAAGGACACTAACAAGGCTTTATCCAAAGGTCCAACAGCTGGTTTACTAAACCGTCATACCAATTAACACAAAAAGGGTCACTGCTGATACAATGATGGTGATGATTTATAGATTTAATGTAGAAAGCTTTAGAAATGTCATATTTGAGCTAATCTCCTCTAATAAATATTACATTTTACATTATCTTACATAAAACCTGTCACTCATATGACCCTTGACTCTTCTTGTGAGGTCTCACACATAAAAAAAGGTTTTTAATGTTTACACTGTAGTTGAATGGGTAAAAATTGCTAATAAAAATGTCAGCGGTGTCCAGTGGTTCATGCGTGCCAACCTGGTTGACGTTTGACATCAGGCAACAGTCAGTCTCTCCATTAGTATCTGAGTGCCGGCATCGTTTCAACTCAGACAGGTGAGATGTTCAATGAGGTCAAAGTATTGCATTTTGTGTAGAGACAAGAAGAAGATGGAAAGGAGAGCAGGACCTTTCCTCCTAAGAGGAACAGAACAAACACACCGGCCACACAATGCCACTACTGTGGTAATGTTGTATTTGGCAGACTCCGTGACAGCATGATGGCAGCCCCTGCACATGCACACTCCCACCGTACTGCCCTCATAAACCTACACCTCCAGCCTGGATGGAGGGCAGCCCATTGAGGGTTACAGAGAAGAACAAGGTCTTTCATTGCTGTTTCACCCCTGGAACTGCCAAGCCTCATCCCCACCACAGCTGGCTACTGACCCTTTCCTCCCTCTAGGTTTGCATCACGCTCTGCTGTGTCAATGTTTGGTACAGAAGTGTGGTGGGTGGAAGGAGAGAAAGTGGGTGTAGCTATGGATTTGTCATGTGCCGTTCCAAAACAACAAGCACTGGAAACACATAGACCTGAGAGTAAGCACCAAAGACATACCTGCTTGGTTTCCAAATTCTGTCTTTCACTGAGGCTGTTATTACACTATATTTCACAGTAAACTGGTTTACAGCAGGATTATTGAACATAATTTAGTTCCAGCTCTGGTAAAAGGTGAGTTGGAATCACTGGTGGGATCAAGTCTTCATGGGAACAACTGTAATTGGATTTACTTGTATCTTGTGCTCACTTTTGTATCTGTGGCTCTGTTCAGCATCCTGCTTGGGATGATCCAATCACAAGTGGATAGCTCTAAGTACAACACCCAAGACAATTGTAGGACGCATTTGAGATTGGAACGGAGAAGTGAAATCTGATCACATGTGGAGACACATTCCAATCAGATCAGATCACCTGAGAGGAATACCAATGCCTGTCTATCTCTTTCTTTGATCCTCTCTTTCTCTCTTATTTGTTACTTCTGTCATAACCCCCTGTGGCAGTCAAAGTATGGGGGTAAGTAGGTTGACCAGAGCGGTGGAAAACTGAAATATGCTGTGTTTACAGCTGGTTATGTGAGAGGACCAGCCTCCAGAGACAGATACTGGGCAGACAGGGCGGTGGAGTTTGAATCTTAATAATGCTTTACTGTTAGGAGCTGAATAATAACCTTGTATGCTCAGTAAAAACCCAATGGTTCTCCAGAGAGAGCTAAATTTAAAATAATGCAAGGGAAAATCTATTGCTGGCTGGTAAAAATAAATTGCACTTTTTGTTACTACTAAACACCATGTTACTTAAGAGAGGGCCAATTACCTAAACCTTACCCGCTCAACATGTATAACTGTATTTGTTTAAATCCTATATTGAACATCCTTAGTAATAAAGGTCAAGGCTGATTAAACGGCATCAGAGTGAGATGTGGGAAAAACCATCAAGCTTTTGAAACTGGCTGAACACAGGTCATCATACTGTCCTACTGTTTATTTATCTAGCTGCTGAAACAGATAAGCAGTGTCTACAGTTAAGGGAAGGGAAACAAAGGGGAAAATGAATGCTACCACTGACACAGTCTGCAAGAGGCTAATCTTTACATCATTAGTCTGATACTGAGGTGAAACAATCAATTTATTTAACTCTAGACAAGACTTGAGTTTTGATCTTGACCTTTCCATATAACCATCTAACTTCCACGTCGAATCAATGTTTTCAATTACTTTTTTCTATTTAGGTTCCAGTCCCTAGGATTTGTTTTCAAGGGAAAAAATCAGGGGATCCTCTGCTGTATTCATACATTGACTTCTCCTAGATTTCTAGCCGGATAAAGTCTGTAGAAAATGAGGCGCATCTCACTCTGACACTTGCGTTTAATATGCAGAGGAACTGCGCAGTCCACTGCTTCCCAGAAAGCAGCTCAAGTGTGTTTTAAAGGCTCAATGATGTAGGCATGTCTGAATTGTAGTGAATGACTAAAAAGATCAGTAATTCACGTTCTTTATGGGCAGCTGAGCTTGAACCTGTTCATAGCTCTTGTAGTGCAGATATTGCTGCAGCATACATTTTAAATATCTTTGTGATAGTAATCACAGGGATGATGACCTGAGAAGGCAGCTTCCACCTCACACAAGAACACATGTTAATCCACATGTATTCCTAAAAAAAAACTGTGAGTCTGGTTTCTCACCATCACCCATGTCCATTTGGAATCAACCCACTGAGTCTTGGAAACTACTGTATGTGGCACATGAAATGTATTCGGAAGGAAGTAGCACGAACAGAACAGCGTGAAGCCCCTATAATAACCAGTAATGAGTTCATCTTTCAAAACCACATTAGATCTTAAGAGCCACATCAAAGTATAATTTTTTGCCAGTAACAACGTAACAGGTAATTAAGCACCCCTGCTTGAATGAATCCATGGCTTTAAATGACACCATTATTCTGGATGCAAAGACATATGGGGTCACAGGCATAAACAGTCTTGTAGGTTGTGTTGCTCATTTTATGATCATGTGTGCACGCTGCATCTGTGCACATGCCTGTAATTCACAAAGTACAAAATGTGTGTGTGTGTGTGTGTGTGTGTGTATGTGTGTGTGTTATTCTGTCATAGGATACTTTTGGGGACAAATGTCTGACAAAAGACCATTCCATATGGTACATGCCTTGTGTCTCTAAATGAAATTTTTTTATTTTTTGGGTATGTGGTCAAGATTAGGGTAATGGTGAGGTAAGCTTAAAGTTAGGGTATGGTTAGGAAGGTAAGGTTTTTGTAGTTGAAAGTGACCTAAGACAACGTGCTTGTGTGTGTGTGT